CGCTTGCGCCACGGCTGACGAATGCGAGCCCAACGGCACCGCGTTCAAGGGGATCTTCATGCGTGGCCTCGCGAAACTCGATGCCGTCCTCGACGATCACCCGTTTCAATCGTATATCCGGGAAAACGCACAGTCAGCGTACGATAACTCGAGAAATGCCACCGACTTCTACGGGTTCGCCTGGCAAGGCCCCTTCGACAGCGGGACTATCGGGAGGCAGGAATCCGCAGTGGACCTGCTCCTATCGACGCTCTAGTTGGGAGCCGGCGTTGATGATGGGTAGTTATCGAGCATGGGAGCTGGAATCAGATTAGTATATAAGATTTGGGTCTCGTCTCAGTATATTATAATACAAGTATAATTATATTCGCCAGGGGAAAGATTTCCCCTCAACACACACGCACACGCACACACACACCCGCACGAACATATCCCTCTGTGTCGCCGCGCAATCTTCTCCGTGACGTCGGGGTAGTCGTAGATAGTACTCTATAGACCCGACCTATCCACCACGACGAAAATGGCGGCGGCGTTGGCGTCACCGAGACCGTGGCGCGTCGGCCATGTCTTGCGCACACCCCTTTCCGACTCCGTCTCCGACATCATCGACTGACGCTTCACGTGTAAGACGCGAACAGCGGTCGCCCAGGATGCGTCGTCATATGCTGCACCCCCAAGCGAACGGCAGCGTCAGCCGGACGCTGACGCACATCTGCAGGAACTGCATGCGGCCGACCGGCCGACGTACATCACGCCCTACCCGTACTTGTACCGGCAGACCTTCTCGATATGTCGCGGATATAGGAGCCGTTACTGTACAGCACAGTAACGGCGCGTCGTTCTTGTGACACGATCACCATGAGAGCCCTTCTGTTACGTTTCAGTCTGAACTGGCGTTCGCGATCACCGTGTGCTTAGGTCCCGCACGTTCCCTCTTCTTCGTCTTCGCCGGTTGGTTATTCCTCGGATTCCCCTGCCTATATGTGTATGCTCACGCTCTGTTTACTTCTGTTGGACAAGATAGGACTGACCTAGCCTATTTGGTATGTTTTAAATAATAGAAGATACTATACCTATGCCTTAGTTTATGTGGAAACGTAAGGATAGTATCTGCTTGTATTATTCCTCGGTGCTCTCAGTCGAAGAGTCGAGTAGGGTCTATACATCCGTTAAATCTATTTAAAGCCTGCCCATATATATATACCCCAGGGAAAAGTTGTACAACTGCTTTTTCATAATAAATCTCATGAAGCCTCGCCCAGTGATACGTAGCACTGAAGGGGATTGTTCGTAATCGTGTCATACGAGTCCCGTGAGTTTAACTTGCCTGAGAGCTTGTGAAACTCAAAGTTCCACACCAGCAACGCGAGCACGATGCGAGTCTCGAGGTACGCCAACCGCCTACCGAAACACCCACGCGGGCCCAGACTGAAAGCCATCATGGGTCCGCTCTGGGCATCGTACGCGACGTTTCCGTCTTCGTCGGTCTTCAGCCAGCGCTCGGGCTTGAACAGGTGCATGTCGCTCGGGTCCCAGACGCCGTAGCGTATCTTCTCGCGCGCCGACGGGCTCCGGGCGCTCTCCAGCACGGGAATGGGGGGAGACTGGTAATCGGGCCCGTCCGCGAGTATGAACACCGCGGTCCCCTTGGGGATCCTGTGTCCCAGGAGTTCTGTGTCGACGAGCGCCTCTCGCACGGTTACTGGGACGGGTCCGTTGTAACGCAGTGACTCCTCGAGGACGGCGTCGAGGTACGGGATCTGTGTCTTCCATAACTCGACTACATTTGGCTGTCGCCCCTCGGAATATGCCGCCGAGTACGCCGTGCGAAGAGCCGACCGCAATTTCGTCTGAACCTCCGGATAGTCCCCAATGTTTTTGACCATCCCTATTCAGATGGGAGTGGTGAGTCAAGTGGCTCACGACTGTATCACACTACGGGGGGAAACGAGGGGCGTGGAGGCTTCGTCAACTGCCTAAGTTTACTTACATGACAATGCTGTGGAGCTGGTGTCGTGTCCAGCAATGATGTATCCGAAAAGCTAGAGAGCGGTCAGTGGTCAGCCCCTTTCATTTCGTAGAGGCGAGCCTCACCTCGTCATGAATTCGAGGGGAGTGGAAGACCGGCTCCCGCCCAGCCTTGTCCGCCGCGTTCATTTCCCGCCGCAGAATGTAATCCATGGCCGATCGCGTCCCGCTCTCACCCTTGCGAAGGCGGACGACGGCCTTGTCGATCTCGTCGCGGAGGAACTTATCCTTCCGAGCAAAATCCTTCGCCAGCGTTGGGCTCGTCAGCATCTGAAAGCGGTGAGCCAGCTCAGGGAATGGGGTCTTGAACTGTTCGCCGAGGTGAATCTCGAGCGCTTCGATGGCGGCCATCTCAGGCATGACAGGAAGTTCCGGGAATGAAACACTCCCGTCAACGTTGGGCGGGGGCCTGAAGCCCGGCCGGGAGAGCAAATGATCGAGTTGGTTCTTGACCATGCTCTGATGGTCTTCTAAGCCAAAGGCGACGGCATTGATAATATCTAGTGCGGCGTCGAAGATATCCCTACGTGCGTTGAAGGGCTGACTTTGTCCCACCTCGGCCTTGAGACGCCACAAGTCGACAAGAGCCATCGTTTTGGCATATATTTGCGGTGCAGAAACCTGTGAGGACGGTCAGCTCGCCCGTCATCGCCAGTCGCTAGACGATCTTACCTCGTGCAGGAAGTTAGGGGTCATTAGGTCCCGGACAAGCTCCCTATTCAACTTGAAACGCGGATCCGTCGATACCATGGCCTGTTATACCACTAGAGTCAATAATCCACGTAGGAAGATCTCCCTAGGGTTTAGGGAGCAGGCAGGAGCAGCGGGAGCCTAATGTGCCAGTTAAGGCAATTTATGGCTCCCAGACATGTCAAAGGGGGGACTGAAAAGACGCCAGGGAACTAACTATGTGGTGATTTGGGGCCACACCAGCGAAGGCACTCGTGTTTCGAGGGCCCCGATTGAACTCACGAGTACGCCTCAGCAAGATATCTTGCGTCTCGCGAAAGTCGGAAAGAATCAGACTGGGTTTCTGTAGCGGCCCCAGCCAGACTTGAGTAAGGGCAGACTCATGTCGTCTCGTATGGCCTATGAAGAACGGCCGCGTTTTCCCCGTGGTGCGTAGCATAGAGACTAGCTCAGGTAAATTACCAAGGAGGTTATTTCGCGCGCTCTCATCATAAGGAATACCCGGGAGAGGCTTCGGCAGAGCCCATCGGTAGGCGAGATACAATGCCGCTAAGAGGGCGACAACGAAGAAAAGAGCATTACCCACACTCGGACTGAGCGAAAATTGAGACGCCATGTTTATCATAGGCATTAGATGAGGTTGAGTGATTAAGGACAAGGTAGAGAAGACGGCATTGGACGTTGAGGCCGCTAGAAGCAACTAATAGTCGCTGGTTCAGGCAATCCCAAGAAAACGATTGGGCAGGCAATCTTGTTATTAAATACTCGGAAGACGTAAAGACGAGTGGTGATCTAGAACTATACGTTCCACCTACCGTTTACGAGGCAGAGAATACGTACGTAGGCTGTCTGCTATTAGACTTGGCTCTTCGGGTCGCCGACGGGATCCGGACTGGGCCTTTTGTGACTCGATGTCTGATATCGAGTAGCTCAGCCCTATTTTTGATAACACCTATCTAACCAGTTTAGGGTGTAGGTCCACGTAATGAGACCCCAGACAGCTTCCAGAGCTTAGGTAGGTAGCACTAAGGAGTGAGCAGCCAGTCCCCATCTCCTATCTGACATGTTGGTACTGGTATACCTAACTTATAAGTAGTAGGTAGCAGTGTATAACTAATGCAGGTCCCATAGGACTCTGCCTGGAAACACGCTGGTCCGTGGAGATGGCTGTGTCAAGATCGGCTTATCTAGTGTAGTGCGCCGGTGCAATTGATGCCCCGTCGTCGGACACAGCCCGGTTCAATACGTCGTAAGTATCCGACAGTGAAGTCTGCCGCCTTGTTGCCAGCGACAACAAAAATTTTTTGGCGCCGCCTTGCATCGGAGTTAAAACTCTATTGTTTTTTTATAACCATACCTAGAAGGTGTTATGATAGAGCGATGGGACATCATAGTAGCAGAATATAGTTTCGAGATGTTGACTGCTGGTCACCGGTTTGACTAAGCAATGGTGTGCCAAGCGCAATAGCTTCTGGTCCGGGCGCTACGTTAGTCCAGGAAGTTCCTATAACTGTCTCTGGACTACGAAGTACTACCTTGGTATCCTTGACCTATGATTAGGTAACCAAGCCATTCCCGCGCCATTAGGATACGCTCCCCGAAGTGATCTTCCGGAGCCCAGATAGGTCGGGCACCTTCAATTGATACGGAGGGCACCCCTCCACCTATTCTTGCTGCTGTTTTCCACAAGAGAAGTACTACCTACATATAAAACAGTCAAATACAAGCCAAAAAAGCCTTCAAATAAAAATCAAAAAAGAGAAATAGAATATAAGGCACATTATACAAATAAGGATCATAATAAAGTGTAATTATCTATTGATTATTGTACGCTATAGGAGGTGTCTGATATACTAGGTACTTCTACTTAATTTTCTCCGCTTTTACATTTGGCTATACCAAAATAGGGTTAAATATGGGGCAGAAACAAGGAATAAGTGGGGGAGGTGCCCTCCGTATTAATTAAAGGTGCCCAACCTATCTGGGCTCATCTTCCGATCCAATTATCTTACATAAAGTTTAGCGGTAAAAAAAGATGAAAAAAAAACCAACTAGGTAGTCGTTTATGTATATATTCTATGCTTAATTAAAACAATTAAGTTAAATAGCAAAAGCTATTTTATGATTATGAAGTGCATTCAAGATTAAGTACATGTTTGAGTTATACATGCGAGAAAAAAAAGTACAAACCAATTTCCTGGCTATCTGCATCAGATACATTTTACACAAATCACCCGGCATTCCAATGCACCAGACGAAGAAGACTGGGACGGGAAAAAGAACTCCGAATCGGGGAATCGAACCCCGGGCTTGACGGCACTTCATTGCATCAACAACACCACAGGATAGATGTTGTACGATGTGACTGAGAGCGTCAAATGTTAGCCACTACACCAATTCGGATTGGGGTGTTTGTGCTTGATATGGTAAATATTCCCCTATTCAGTTGGTACAGATCGGAGCAGGGGTAAGATTAAGCGAGGCCGTTTCTGGTACTACCGCCCTTCCTAACCCACATGCTAAATCGGGCCAATAGACATCGCCATGGCTATACAATCTACCCCTATACCGACTAGCTTCGATAACTATACTGCAAGCAGGCAGCAGATGAAGCAAATCCTATCCTATTGTACTTACGAAGTACTCCCATAAGAACTCCTCTCCCGACTTGGATAAACGAAAGCCACCCATGACATGTGAGAGACCCGGACAGAACCAGGAGCATTAATCGTGCCGAATACCTATAGTATACTTCGTACTATACTATGATGTAGGTTACATAGTGGTGGCAGATAACAGTCGCGTTATCGTTAGGGATTCTTCAGATTGAGGATGGTCTTGCTGCATCCCAACGCAGCTTCCAGGATATGCCAGCGACGAACGACGGGGCAATATCGACATGCATGAACAGAGAGGCGATACTTGTCCCGGAAAATGGGGAAAAAGAGCATTCTGGATGAATAGCCATAAGATACGTCACCGTCCGGAGCCCGCGCACACCGTATTAACTGTGGGTAACGCGGATTCTTTTACAAAGCCCGAAGCGCGCTGCCGTCTTTAGGTAAATGGGGTATTAATTACCCATCCTCTGGATTCCTTTCCAGACGGAACTTCCAGATTCAGGGGATACGTCCCGGTACTTGTGTACGACGCGTTATGATACGCGATTGGCTAGCCGCGAGGGGCGGAGCAACGGTATAAGCTAAACATGCTATTACAATCACAGCGACTTAGAGCTGATATTTGTATGTCCAGGATGATAACTCGATTCGCTAAATAGCTATATTCTGGAGGCGCGTGCGGGTACAAGCCGTCGTGTATCGTAAACCAAGTGCATTAGGTAGACGCAAAATGAGTAGCATGGGAAAGACGAAGAGAAATCGTGAAAAAGGTAGAGATTAAAGAAGGATGATAAACGTAAAGACCAAGAGGGTTCCGGTGCAAGAAAGAAAGAAATAGAAGAGCGGATTAAAATCTTAAGGAAGAGAAGAAGAGGGGAGGGAGAGAAGGGAGCCAATATGACTGACTACCTAGCCAGCCCGCCCCCCCTAAGTCCACGCATTAATATCAACCTTTGTACCCAACATCCCGCCCCCTACCAGCCGGGGCTAGCCGTCCTCAAGTGCGCTCCCCAACTCCGCAGCAGAGCCGACAGACGCACCCGAGAAGGCAGTTGGCGGCCCTCTCGCCGGCCTCCTTGGCATTGTCCTTGACGCGCTCCCGCACGGGAACGCGCTCCGGGACGTAGGTCATGATGTGATAGGTCTGCAGGTTACCCTGGGCATCCACGTAGGTATGGGTCCTGATGTTCGGGTCCCTGGTGGCAATCATCGGGGGCACGATTGGCGGCGCATGGGTGATGGGGCCCCCGGTATTAGCAGAGGCCGGAGCCGTGCCCGAGGAAGTGGCGGGCTGGCTATCGTGTCGGGTTAGAATAAGGGTGTTGAGGGTGAGAGTATCTCTGGGACATACCTAGGTTGTGAGGCGGAGGCACCGCCGCCAGATGGAGAAGAGCTCATTATAATCGAGGGATCGGGTTATTATCTTCTGCAACAGTGTTTCGAGAAGAGTACTCGTGGAAGCTGCGTTCAGGGCAAGTCTATTCCCGGAGGCTGTGGTAGTGGTTGATAATAGACGATGTGTTTCCGGCCTGATACATAGTCATATGAGGGTCGTCGTGGTTTTATTTATACACTGCAATAGCTAGTTGCACTCTTGCCGAGGATATCTCCCAAAGCGACACAAACTCGATCATGGGATTCATTCGTGACAGGAACTTGTGTCTCTGTTCCGGTGAATGCGTTGAATAGTAAACAAACAGAGCATGGGGCCGTGGACGGAGAAAATTTCAGGTCGTCGTCGACCGTGCAAGGGAGGACTGCGTATATATTAGTTGTCGTATAACCTAAATGTAGGGCGTTCAATTTCTTCCCTTTACACATGGTCTGGTCGTTTGAGATGTCTCATATCGATGAGGTGGAGGATAGGGGGCGAGGAAGCTCGACTATTGGGAGTAGTTGGCTATCAAACCACCTCTACCGGTGTTCTGCCCGAACGTATATCTTGTACTTCTTGGAGATATAGCTACTGTTTATTCATAGCAGGAACTAGCTTTCAAGTAGCTATATACTTACAGCAAACATAGGTTATGGACTGTGGCAACGTTTACAGGGAAAATGACGGCATAGCGGTAGCGGCGGCGACATAAGAGCACCATGATTGATTGGCACGAACGTCACTATAAGAATTCGCAAGAGTCATGAACGCACCTATGCGGACTGACAGGAGGTCGGAAACGATTGAGAGTAACTGAGTCTAGCTCGAAGTCAAGTCAGACACATTCGCTCAAATCATCAGACACAGGAGTCATGTCGTTATCCTTACCCTATAGTGAGTTTTCACTGGCCACTCGCATATAGCGCATACTTGGCACAATGACCACTCGTGGATCCAGGACAAGGGCAAGGGGGGAACTGTAGTGGCTGTAGACATCAACACGAACTTCTGTTGAGTAATACATCCGATCTTCCACATGACTCCATCGAGTCTGGGGGTAATTAGTTGGCGTTTCGACATACGGACACGTTGGCACCGTAAGACCACCAAGGCCGGCTGTAGTAAGGAGAACAACGCAGAAGGTAAGAAAGTCGACGGTAGAGTGATACCGCCGTGTATCCAGGGACAATATATGCATTATTATCATGATGGGTGTGTCGTCCGTTAGATCGGACGTGACGGCGACGTGAGTAAGAGACACGGAGAGAGGCAAGTCACCAAGCTCCAGTGTACACTGAAACGAGCTATAAATATGTTCCTGTACGAGTTCATGCTCTTGACCGTATTGTAGCGAGCACACTGATTGCTTATTTATCTACGAGTCTGCTCCTCCTTGCTTCGAGAATAGAGCGGTGTAGTGTTAATGGTATTGTTAACACGATCAGCAAATCATGAACGAAGGATAGAAGAGGGAAGGGAGTGCGTTTCATGCGACCGGCTGAATAATAGTGATATTATAGAGTATAGCAGAGACTTCGTAGGCCGCGAGGGAGACGTAAGCGTGCACGGGACCGAGGCAACAACGTATCGGAGCGAAGAACAATAACAATATCAACGAGCTCGAGTCGGACACTCGATGATTCGCATTTACCTACCTATGAAGTACTGTAACACTATCGGTATATTTATTAAAGCCAAATACCCAAAAGTCCACCAAATACCGAAGCCGTAGCACCATCAACGAATCGAATCGATCCAATCCCATTCGTTCCCAAGCATCCAACAGTGCCCATTATGAGTTTCATCAATTCCCCGATCCCACGTGCCGCGAACCTCGTCCGCGCGCCCGGGCCCGTACGCATAAGCTTCGACACCTTGTGTGACGGCCGAAGGGGTAAAGCACCTACCTACTAACTATACTAACAATCCCAAAATCAGGGTACTATTATGCAGAGTTGTAGTATTCACAATGCAAGGCATGAACCAGGGTCCAGGGATACAGGAATGATCTTTCCCGAGACGACGTGATTGATATCAAGGCTGTTTGCTAGACCTACCAAGTATTTTATTTCCCTATCCGATTCACATATCCCGCGATCAAACTAAGTAGGTAGATACAAGGGGAAAGGGATCACTGGCTTACTTCTCGCGCCTATAACTCAAGGTACGTACGAACCATGAAGGGATGCAAGGGACACGCATACATCTCAACCACATGATCGAAGTCGCAACCAATCATGCCAGCGGGCATATAGTGTAGAGTGTCCAATTATCTTCGACTTCTCGTACCAAACCAAACTACGATACCGCACACTCTACACTCACTCACTAACCATGTCCTCCTCTGCACCATGAAACGACGCTTGAGAAACAACAGTACCCAAGTAAACTCATTATATTGAATCCCAAGGGTATACAAAAACAGCAGAAAAAACAACCCCGAAGGTAACAAGAACCACGCTCCCCCAATGCCTAATCCGTAAACACACTATTCGTTCAATAACAGATTCTATGTCCCCTTCCATTGACCAGTCATAACATGCTCTTCCCATTCATTTCAGTCAGTCATCATCAAAGTCATCTCACCCCATCCCCGTCCCCATCCATCCATAGCAAAAGACAAATCCCTTATCGAATCACAGTCTGCGTAACACCACCACCAGCGGCCAGACCGCCCGGCCTCGCCACCGCGTTCCGGACGATGAAGTCGCGGTTCTCGATCGTCACGCTCTTGGTCATGTGATTGACCTTGTACACGCCCACCAGGCGCGCCGCGAGCTCGAACATGTTGTTGCGGAGCGAGATGACGATGAACTGGGCGTTCTTGGTGCGCTCCTTGATGTAGTTGGCCACGATCGACACCTAGAAAGAAGTCGTCCCGTCAGTTATTTGTTTTCCCATAGTATCAAACAAACAACCAATTAAAAAAAAGGAAAGAAAAAAGGAAAAAAAGGGGGAAGGGGTACTCACGTTCCGGAAATCCAGCGCGGCGTCGATCTCGTCCATGACGTACAGCGGCGTGGGCTTGTAGTGGTGCAGCGCGAACACGAGCGCGAGGCTCGACAGCGTCTTCTCGCCGCCGCTGAGGTTGCTGATGTTCTTCCAGCTCTTCTTGGGCGGCATGACGGAGAAGAGGATGCCCTCGCTGAAGGGGTCGAGGCTGTCGACGAGCTCGAGCTCCGCGTTGCCGCCCATCGTGATCATCTGGTACATCTCCTTGAGCCGCAGCGAGATGGTGCCGAAGCCCTCCATGAAGCCCTCGAGGCGGAGCCGGCGGAGGTCGTCGCACCGCTTCTTGGCCGCGTCGCGCTGCTGCACCGCGCCCGCGAGGTCGAGGGAGCGCGCGCTGTGCTCCTCGACGCGGCGGCGGTATTCCGCGAGCACGCTGACGTCGACGTTGACGTTTT